ATCGTATGCGTATTTTAATGTGTTTGCTTTAAAGATGTGATTTTTTTTTTGTTTTTTGTTAAGGAATAAATTTCAATTATTAAATTATTTTTTCAAATATTGAAGATACAACGAGATATATTATATTGTATCAATGTTGTACCTTATCACGTTATGTATAGTATACCAATGATAAGTATTAAGTAAATCATACATTTATAAACAAAACAAAAATTGGTAGGTATAGTACTGCTTTGACCCACGTACGATAAAATAATAACGATTTTCGAGTGAAAAATTAAGGTACGGAACTTAATACAATTACTTTGCTGGGTACTATAATTTAATAAACATTGTTTTTATAAACACCAACTATTGTTACAAGTGTATAAAACAAATGTATGTATGCGTAGTGGCGTACTATATACGCGTAGATTATTACATACAAAAGAAAGAAATCTCTTACTTACACAATTATTATAATTATATATAACGTRCACAAGTATGTAGATAGTGAACTTGGTACTTTAACAACATTACGATTGTTATTGTTTACGAGTTGCTAAGATCCTTAAGTCTTCTATTCTATTGTCACAATATGTGATTGTACACGTTGGGTTAAATTATTTCATAGGATGACAAAATATTATTTAAATATTATAGCACTTAAAAATATGTGATGCTTATATATTGTTTTCACTACGGTATACGTGAGCGACGCAACGCTAGTAGTGATGGTTGTTTTCCTAAMAAAATGATTTTAAACCGAAGTAAACTATGCCAAAATTCCATGTGAATGTTTACTGTTTAGACGAATAATTACAGTCCGGAGAAACATGACAATATGATAAGAATACTATGTACCTGTATGCGTGATCGACGGTACGCGCTGATTCTTGATATAATTATTTAAAACAAAAAATTTGTCCTACGAATTTGGTGAAAAAAATATTATTAACATTAAATGGTAAGTGCATATTATATTGATATTTAGCACACTCTTACAAATGGAAGCCCAATTATTGTGATCACAGAATCGTTGTGACAGACGTTTAGAATTTCTAAAAAATTCGATCGATGATCAAAACTGTGATCCGAGTTATTTTCAAATAATTTTACGAGTTAATAATAATAATACCGACACTACTTGGTGGAAATTTAAGKTCGTACAATGAGTTTAACCAACTGACAAATGTTGGCCCGGCGTGTCGTGTAGGCAATTTAGCTACGCTGGTGCATAGGTAACAAAAAAACGTCGGACGGAACTCGCTCGACGCGTGATCTACAACATGTCGATGCCACGGTCGTAGTAATCAAAATGCAAAACACGCTACATTTTTCGACCGAACTAAAACCGATATCGTTAACCTTAGGCATATGAGACGTGTTGGTAACGGCTTACCTGATGTCTGAGTGATATGACCGTCCAATAATACCGTCGAAAAAAAAAAAACTGAAAACGATCGACGTCTCCGAAACGAACCGCAACGCACACGCGTACCGACGGCACTGGAGCTAGTTAGATTTTCACGATGTCTCTCGACCGACACTCTCTTAACACTGTTTATACGAAATATTAATTATTATTATTATTGTTATACAACTGTCTTCGTCCTTGACGCGAGACTCTCAAGGGTGATCACGACAAATTAATACGGATGACAATAGTTTAATAATATGCCGAAACGAAATAAAAACACGAAATCGCGTGAACGTAAATGCCGCAAATCGTAGGGCGGCGATAACGACGGACGGCACACCGAACGRCGGTCATCAGCAGTCGTCTAGCATACCCGGCAAACTGATGGTGGYGGTGGGCGGAAAACGGTCGCGGAGAGCGGCGCGTTGCGGCGGCGGCGGTCTCGCAGGGGTGGCCACGGCGGATAGAGAGCGCGCCCGAGTTGTGCTCGTGTCGTATAATATTATAACGACGATAATAGTAATCGCACACGAAATATAACTCACGAGTCTTGGTGACGACAGCCGACCACCGCCGTCTGGACGACGACGTRTGCACACGGTTTGGACACAGCGTTTTCGCTGTTAATTATTATTATTTTGATTTTTACGTACGCGTGGTCGATGGTCCATAACAATCATGTTGTATGACTCTGCAACGGGTCCGGAGTAGGATCGCGGAGACGTTTTCGCCGCGTTTCAGTACCCAATTCGTCAATTATGCGCGAATTGAAATAATTACAGTCAGAATAATGATATGATTATTTTATAGTCCAACTATTATACATAGGSTTTAGTCATAATAACAATAATAACAACGTATTGTAAATRCGAAAATTTCCGGCACGACAATCGAATTAACGCTTAATTTTTTCCCTAAGCCAACATTTCGACGTGGTCCATTGTACAGAAAACAAAATATTGTTTTACGTTCCCACGAAATAACAAGACCACCAATTCTCATTTAATATATCATCGTGTCTGGATACTTTGTAACGATGAGATATCCTGTGTTAAGTCCATACATCTAAATAGTTATCTAGATAAAGTCAATAAAGATAAAGATATAATTTTATCTAATGCACATAATGACTAATCAATTATCAACTGTATAAAATTCAATTATGAATTAGTCATATCATAATAAGGTGGGGARTGGAAAGAAATTGGCTTATTCAAAAATAATATTTCCAAGAATACATGCTAATTCCTAACATCCTTACATGACTGATAAAAGCTAAGTTATTTCAAATTTAACTAAATAAATTAAGTTAATAAGTTGATTAGAAAATCAACTAACTAGGTAGTTAAGTTAAAAWTTTTTTWWAAAAATAGTCGATTTTGACGTCATATAATAACGTCGTGTATGTTTTATGACAGGAAATCGATTTCAGATACAGTCAAACCCACTGAATTTTGATAATTTTTAGCACTGGCAGTACTGAGTAGAAACTTAGAGACCGATAATTTTGCTCAATGTGGTTGGCATATCTTAATAGCGTTGAGTATGATACTCGTATATCAATGACAATTATAATGATAATATTGCACACACGACTGTGGGCATTTTTGTACAACTATTTTTATGGTGGAGCAATTTCGATCTATATTATTTTCAAAAATACGGATGCCCATTCAAGTATATTTTCCGTTTTTTATTTCATTTTTTTTTTTGTCTGATCTCCTCGTATAATACCTCTTGGAGTACAATCTTTATCCACTTGGTAATCTGTATATATGTGCTAAATGAAACATTTGGAGCACTTTTACCCCTCTAAAAGTTTTTTACCGTAAAAATAAACACATCGTTGTGAGACAAATAGCTTCGTCGCTACGCTCGGAATACAAAACAACGTACGTACACTTTTCGTTTGTAAAGTACACACACTATAGGAAATAATCTGGCATTATTATAGGAAGTAACTTTACATTTTGTTCTATTTCTCGTTTTCGTCCTTTCGTATCGATGATATATTTATTGATCGCCTACACGATGGATAAAATTACACAATAAGTACACACCTCAGTCTGCGGCTGATCAACCGAGAAAATTATCACAACAAAACTATCCTATACGTGTTGTGTGCCACCAAAAAAATCTGCGTTCATATTCCGTGGCGCGACAATATTATAATATATTATGTTATATAAAAGCACAGTTCAACTAGTCAGTGCACTTTCCATAAACCATAAAGTAAAAACAAAAAGTAATCYAACTCGTTACTGTTGTATGTAGAATGGATAAAATATATGAAAATATATAWGTATTTTTTCAGTTATGTCATCGTGGGTAAACAAAACTTCAAATCACATTTTAAGACAATAAACTAGATAAAATATAACTAATGATAAGATAATATGAATTCATTATCCTGAGTCATCGCTATAATAATGTTTAAAAATTGACTTTTATAGCCCATACAATTGCATAACAACAAATTATTTACCAGGTTAATGAGAAAATTGTATAGACATTGTATTGTATTGACATTATTTCCAAAACATTACATATTATTTGATACTGATATGAAGTATGATATAATTTGCCTGACAGGAACACAGGTTGAGGATTCAAGTTTTAAATATTCACTCGTCCAATATAATAATATGATATACAATATTGGAAACTCGATGTTTGTAGTATTTATATTTTTGAGTTTAAACGTACAGCGAATTTAGTACCTAGATATTTTCGGTTGATATAATATAGAAAATGCTATAGGATTATACAATTATACTACCTTGCTAATACTAATAAATAAAACATATTATATTATATCGTTTGGTKAAATCACACTAAGTATGTAACTTACTGACTTCTTATTYATACCAAAATTTGAATTACTCCAAGATGACGACGTGAAAATGTTTTTTGCCCAGCCAAACACGAAGTACTCAAAGAATATGTACATAAAATTACATGGATTCTGGTTGTTTAGGTTTTTAAAATTAAAACTGTATTGTATGAAAACGTATTCTAAGTCATAAAATAAAAATAAATGTAAGCAGTTTTGTTACGAAACATATTATATAATATTAAAACAAAATAATAATGAACGTAAAAAAATTTGTAAAATAGTAATTATTATATTTAAGAGCGGTATATATACAAAAAAAAAATCAAATAAATTATTAACCCACAACAGAATATTGCGTCCAAAGCAATAGAATAACAAGCTGACGCTACGGAAAACTACAACTGCTGTGATACCATCATTAAAAGTGATTCTACGAACTCAATAAAATGAGTTGTAAATAAAACTAACACCAATAACTTTGGCCAAAAATACAAGACAAAATTCAACGAGTGAAATAAATATATACGCTCGGAGTGTGTTACGGCCCCTACTAACACGTATTATACAGGATGTCCCACGAGAATTTACCAATCGCGATATCACCAGAAATAATGGAGATCGAAATAATTGTTTTGTAATAAGAGTCACAAGGATAATAACTTATTTCATATTTTAATTTATTTTAATGTTTTGATAAAAAGTCAAAAAATATATTTTTTATTTAATTATTTCTAAAAAAAWTTTAGAACCATTWTGTAGARTTTATTTTTCTGAAAATAATGACCTTTTAAAATTTTATTTTCATTGATTTCCTGATTAATAATAATTCTTTTTTTAGTTTCGAGAAAAATTACAATTATTTAACACCGTAGTGTTATCAAACGTGATCCACCGTGCCACGCGCGTTCTCGTACAGCCGGCCAAATACTTTCAGCGTGCCTAGCTTGAAGCAAAATAAATGTTATTCTTACAAAACTAGAAAAAAAATTCAAAATCAGGAAATGAATGAAAATACAATTTTRAAACTTCAATATTTTAAAATACTAAACTCTACAAAATAGATATCTTTAATTTTTTTTAAATAGTTAAATAAAAAAATTTATTTTATAAGTTTTTACCAAAACATTACAATAAACAAAAAATTAAATAATTKAAGTTCTTATCTCTGTGAGTTTTATTTCAAAACCAGAATTTTGATATATCCATTATTTCTTCAGATATTATCGCAATGGGTAAATCCTCGCGGAATAGTGATGTGCATAAAAACGAAAAATAGAAACGTTATGAACAAAATTCAATCAAATGGAAAATAAAACAAGACATAACTTAAAWATATGTCTGTGAAAATGGTATTGGGGAGACACCATACATTTTACAAATAGGCCGATAGAAATTATGTTAAAAGAAATAATGATATTAATCCACAACAAACTTTGCAAAACACATCACAAATATAAATATACAAAATAAATAAATAAAAATATTAATTTTAACAAYTGCTATTCCAAAAGTCAGTTCTATCTGTTACATCTTGTATACAGTAACATTTATTTTTTTGTACAAATGCTTATAAATAAAGAAAAGTAAAAAAAAAATATATATCAATGAAAATATGTAAATGAAATGAATTTCTAGGAGTTTTGACTGATTTATATTGAAGTTTTTAATACTGTAGGTATATACATACCTAATAATAATATTATTTAGTATAATAAACACAATTCTGAATATTGAAGATAGGTAAGTATGGTCTCGACAAAGAACATAATATTTCTTTGAAATTGTTTTTATCAATATGAAATTGTACAAAACCCAAAAATTAACTTAAAAAAAAAAAAAATGAAATACACACTCTGTAATATTGTTTGTAAGCAATTTATATTATTACAGCGAATATTTATTGCTCGTTCAATTTCAAAAACGGTGCACATGAACGTCCTTCACAAGTGATCGATTCATAAATCATAACATTAAACCTTTTCTATATTCGTATCATCGTTGGAATATAATATTTAAATACATTGTAAACTACATACATACATAAGTTGTATTCATTTGTTAAACAAAATTTAACAGTTATGACTACTATGACACTTCAGATCACTACTTTAAGATTATTAGCGTACCCACATCAAACGCACACCGAAATTGCTCACCAAATTTAATGAAAAACTTGATTCAAAACCTAAAACAACTCACTACTTCAATACTAGCAATATTTACACCGGTAATGTATTTGAAAAGTGGTTATTATTTGAAAATTTGAATAGATAAATATGTTTTATCGAGTTTAATTTTTATCAATATTAAATTTTTATACACAATAGTTATAACATTTAAGTGCAATTATTAATAACATTCGAAAATTGTTTAGCATTTGATTTTACATAAGATCGTCATCGGATAATGGATATAAATGGGAAACTTTGAGCCGACTAAAAATATTACAGACATCATTAACAACGTAACGTACCTACCTAGCTATTTTGAATGTCAAACAGACATGGGCGATTAATTTTGTCATTATTTGAACG